AGTGCCGCTGCGCTTCCCAAGCGGCGCACTATCCAGTGCGCCACCGGGCCGGCCCTTTTTTATATATTTTAAAGAATCACACACCACTCATTGAATATAAATATGGTCAATAAACATTTAACCAACTGAACTGTGCCAACTACAGATATTGGACTACTCAAATTATGACGCTTAAGTCATAAGCAGGGTTCTCTTGAAAGGTTCCTTCTTTTGTTTCAATGACACTTCCCACCACCACCATCTTCTACTTTGTAAGAAAAGTGATCAAGAGGAGAGCAACTCCCTTACCATCCTTGTTTATATCGATCTTATGAAACACCAAGTTGGCGAATTCCTCAGGACTCAGCGTTTGCTGGCCTTTGATGGCTTGCACAGACTGCAAAAGAGACATTAAATCAGAGAGTTCAACTTTTCTCTAAGCAAATACATTTTGTAACATTTCTGTCCCAATGGGACATAACTTTGGGATGCGTTAATGTCAGTTTTGCTACCCAACCTGTTTCAGTTATTAAAAATAAATAAAGAGAAAAGATTGCATTTCAGTCTTGGGTAATGAGGCTTGGAAACTAAATTAACTGAGTAAAGTCTGAAGTTTTATTTTATACATTAAAGAAGAGACCTATTCAACATATTAGGTAACAAAGACACAAAGAACCCATTAGAGAAAGTATTGTATTGGTCATGGTCATAAGAATTCTGGATCCAGAAAGCAGACATTGTTCTCAATTTCAGACTCTTTCATTTGGATCTCATGGATGACTGTAACAGGATAACCGGAACTCTGTAAGAATCTAAGGCTTCCTCTCTGGCTTCTGCCACTGTCACCTCTGGTTCTTTGTGCCCTTTTGTACAAAGATTGGCTGGGAAGACAGATATATGTGTCTTAGAAGAAAGCTGAATTTCTCTCACATTCTGCCAGTCACTTTTCATGATAAAAGCAGTCAGGAGACCCAGGGCAAATGACATTTCCAGCCTTCTTAGATGGAAGATTTATCCAAACCTCCATCCCCAATGTGATTAAATTAAATGAGCCACATTTGACAAAGATATTCATAATAAAATAAAGGGGGATTAGTCATCTGGGAATTTGGATATAAATATCTTGATTCAACATGAAGTGAAAAATTGCTGGCAATGTATTTCAGTTAGAGAGCATAGTCTTATTTTATTGCTTTGAAGCATAATTTATTGTACATATTCATGGGGTACAAAGTTGACTATCAATAGCTGTGTACAATATGTGATGGTCAAATCAGGATAGTTAGCTTATTCATCATTACAATACGTAATCATTCTTTGTGTTCATTAACCAATCTTTCATTAATTTCTCATTACTCCCCAC